CGCTGTTATCTTGGCGTCGGCCTGCGCAGGTGTTGGCCTGCCTGGCCTCCTCTGGCACTTGTCAGGGGAGCCGGAGCAGCCCGAGCTTGCCATTTAGGTAAATGATGGATTTGCTTCTGCGGTTTCAGCGCAACTCTTGTATGCTGTGTAAAATTCTGATCCACCTCAGAAACGTCTATATTCTCCTTGTAGAGTAAGGATTATATACTGCCCTTAGCTCTTAGGGTAGGAACGTTTCGTTGAAGTTGTGGCCTTATACTGAAGCTTTGCTCAAAGAATTGGTGCCCTTTCTCCTATGGGAGGAATTCTGCAAAGGGGTGGTAATATAATAACAGGTTCATTTGAAATTTGGTCTCTGCACAGGATAATTTGCTAAAGAGATAGAAATTTCTCTATTGGAAAGACCAGCAAGCAGCTTTCTATATGTCACTAAATGCTTTAGACAAGTGTTGCATATTCTCAAGATGGACTTAAACTGGCCTTTAAGGAATAACGTATTGAAATTGAAACTTTGGGATGACACTACCAAACGTCCTGAGGAGTAGATACCCCCATGAGATTATTTGATTTGAATGTTTATCTGTCTTTACTGAAAGAATAAATAAGCTGCATCTGCTGTAATCAACTCTGTGATTTAGTTTAATTTATTGGTTTGGGGTTTCCATTGTTGTTTTTTTTCCTTTTTCAGGTAACACCGTGATGTGAGATTTATTTATTGAAATATATTTTCTGGAATGAAGTAGACAAGCAACATAGAAAAGGTGTAATTATTTATAAGTAATGACAGTTCATTTACCTTTAGACACATATTTGTTCTTTGTGATTAACCCAAAAAGTCTTTGGTGGAAGCAAAGAAACAAATACCTGTATTTGTATAGACCTAAAGTCTGCTGGAGGATAAATCATGTCATTCACCTGAGAGTGTTTCATACAAGCGAGCATCGGTATAAATGGGCCAGAAGCAGAACATTTTGGTATAACAAATACATTTACAGCCATGACTTTTTATACTACAGAGTTTCTAAACTTTTAACTTCTTCTTCCAAAGGACTTACCAAAGTGAACAATCGCATGTCACGAATTAAGAATACTATAGAATCTGTTTCAAAGGCAGTGTCTGGCACGCACAGTGAACTGGTTTCACGGATAGCTCGATTAAAGTCACACTCGGGTACTCTGGGAAAAGCAAGTAAAAGTAATGCAGATGCAAATAACATCAATGCAAATCTAGAAAATGATAAACAAGTCGCAGATGCCAGAACTCAGGAGGATTGCAACAGGGGCCCAGCTGCAAAGAAATCCACTTGTGCAAATGAGTCTATGTTAGTAAGTTCAAGTGGCACTTACCAAGATACTCCAGAAGATTCAGCGTCTACTAAAACCCACCTTTTTCATGTAAGTTACTTTTCTACAAATTTTGGAGAGACTTACAACTTCGTAGCTGATCATATCAACTGGTACTTTAAAAATAATTCTGTTATGGATCAAGAGAAAAAAAGGAATGCTTTGTTACAGGACTCTAAAAGTGAAGAGAGGAATAAGCTTGATTCATCAGGAGATACTGTAATGAGTGAAGAAAAGACAGTGGATTCGTCAGCTACTTTAGCTCCTCAAGCAGAGACTCTGGGTGCGGAAAAAACAAATACTGCTCTTCCGGTTTCCACTAAAAAAAGTATTGCAAACTTTCTTTCATATCCCAGTAACAGTGTACAAGCTTTTGTAGACAGTTACATTGGTGGGTTGGTTCCCAAGTTAAGATCCGATACAAAAGTTGTTTCCCAAGAAAAGAGCAAACAACCAGAACAAGAAGTGCCTGAGAAAGATGAAGAGGACAAAGCAAAAGAGGCTAAGACTGCAGAAGAGAGGGAAAAGCATCTGTCTCTTCAGAGAGAAAAGGCAAGTCTTTGTTTAGTGTTGTTTCTTCAGGTATTATTTCTATGTATGTATATTTTACACAAGTGTATATATACACTATACACACAGGTGTATATATCTATATGTAAACTTATATATACTTACATATGCTTGAATATACTTACATAAATAAGTATATATGTATGTACTTACATGTAAGTACATATATGTACACATAATTTATGTGTACGTACATATAAGTATGTACTTATATAAATAAGTATATATGTATATACACATATATAAAAACTATAAACTTACATATACATACTATATGTAAGTTATGTAAACTTACATATACATATATGTACTTATACATACGTATGTACACATATATAAAATGTATATATACTTTTTATAAGTACATATATGTATATGTAAGTTTATATATAAAGCGTATATATGTATATATACATGTGTGTGTATTATATACCTATATTTAGTTCATATATATGTAGAGAGAGTGTACATAAATATGGATAGATCTAGTTGCTTTTTTTTGTTGTAGTTATAGTAATCTTGCACTCCTTCAAATACAATGATTTCAGAGTTGCCCTGAAAATACATCCGAGTACATGCAGACACGTGTTTGTTTGGTGTATTGTTGCTGTGAGCTGCCTTTGTTTATTTTTCTAGTAAACAAAGAATCAAAAGGTTGCCTGTTTACATTTAAGCAATGCTTACTTGGAGCCTGTAGCAGATTTCTGGTACAACATGCTGTCCATTACTTCTCAGAAATCTTAAAATAACAGTTTGGAATTAGTCTTGACAAATTTTACACATATCTTAGAGTAGTTTTATGTTATTTATATAACTTTCTTTTTTTAGATTATTGCAAGAGTGAGTATTGATAACAGGACTCGAGCTTTAGTTCAAGCCCTACGAAGATCCTCTAATCGAAGAGTCTGTATCAGCAGGGTTGAAGAACTGACCTATCATCTTCTAGAATTTCCAGAGAGCAGAGGAGTTGCAATTAAGGTGCAAATAGTCTTTATGCTTAGACAAAAGATTAATATCTGACAGAGGATTGACATAGAATAACATAAAACTTTCTTCTGTGCTTTTGTGGGCTAGTTATATTTTCTGTTTGACAGTGTGAATGTCTCTTTTTATAGCTATTTTTTTAGCTGGTTCAAGCAGATTCATATGCAAACTGTGAGTAGTTTAGCTAAAGGCTCTTAAGATTGCAATGTTTAATTTAGAAGCATACAGCATTGTCATGTGGATAGATAGTATAGCTTATTCTAATGGTAGATGAAGGTCGTACACTGTGTTCTCTGTCGCAATTGACCAGACGGGAATGTACGGTACAGTTGATCTGCATATGTACAACAGTTCTTCTGCTTGTTTGCATGCTTCCTTCGAAGAGCGATGACAAGAGTGGAGTATAACCATCAAATAAGCTCATGTAATCTAGTCCTACCCATTCTCTTTCCTGCAGTGAGAGGACAGGAGGTGGGTAGTAGACTATTCTAGGAGTACTAGCCAAATCATAGCATTTGTCAGTCTCATGCCTTTTTCCATGTGACAGATGTGTAACATAGATTGTAGAATTGCTGGATAAGAGATCTTTGGGAAGGGAATGCAGGCCAGATGAATCATATGGGCAAGGTACAGGTCTGGCATCCACGTGAATAGATGTGAATTACTTTATTATGAAAGAGTACATGCACTACTCCCATTTTTTATTATAATACTCTGTATCTTTGTGGTAATAATTGTATATTTAAAAATTACTCAGTGTGAGGAAGAATTTTAATTTGCTTTGTTTTAGTATTAGTGTACTTTGAAGCAGTGTGGTACATATTCAGCAAAATCTGGGCTTTTAGCTATACTTGGTGTGCTCCATACTTGAGTTTATATTTGGCTAATGTGACATTGAAGTCAATAAAACTAAACTGCTCGTAAATATAGCTTTTCTAGCTATTTGAAAGATTTACATTTCACTTTGGTTAATTCTGATAGATAGTTACTTTAGCAATGAGGCGCGTATGACATAATATTGGAGTCCATCCTTTCCCTTGTTAGAAAGAGAGATGGGTAAATACAGATTTAAAGAAGTTTTCCTCTGAGTTTAACTAATATATTACTTTTATACTTAAATGCCAAACTAGTAGATGCAAGCATGGATTCTTTTGGTATAAACATGTAGTTAGAATGAAATATCTTTGTGTTCATCAATAGGAAAAATTAATCCCATGCCTACTTCGACTGAGACAGGCAAATGACGAAAGTCTTCAGGCTGCTGTTAGAGAGACTTTAGCTGTAATTGGATATACAGACCCTGTGAAAGGCTGGGGAATTCGAGTCCTCGCTATTGATGGAGGAGGAACAAGGTAAAACCTCTGGGTTTTTATGTAGTTGTAGCCTTTTTCGTACTGTAACTGGAAATAAAATTTCAGTTTCTCTTTGGTAAGTTAGTGCCCAAAGATGCGATTTATGATTTACAGTTCTGTTACATTTGACTATCCAAGTGATGGGTATTATTTTTGTATGTATTTGTGCTTAAATTTCCATGCATTAGTAGTACTGTGACACTGAAATTACTTACCCATTTAAAGTTGGCTACACACTTAAGTGCTTGGATTGGCTCATTCTCCTTTTGGAAGTAAATTAAATGGTTAATTGAGTTAGTCTGCTCACAAGCCTAATCTCAGAAATACAAAATTGTTGTGAAATGCTAGTAGTTTATACTTTTATGATTGACTTAGTAACACAAAAAATGTTCTTGTACTTCTCTGGAGGGTGACCTGCCTTAGCAGGACTGGTCTCATATGAAAGAATGAATAGGCTAGTGGTGAAAGCTACTCTAGCCATGCTGTTGATTTATATTTCTTCTACACAAACATTTTTTTTTTAATTTATGCACCACATGTCTTTAGTTACATGTGCTCTAGCTCTGCATGAATTTATGCGTCTACCACAATTTGTAAAGAGTAGTAGCAGAAGCATGTTCACTAAATTTGAAGGCTGATGTTTACTAAAAGCTCTGTTTTCAGGCATATTTGAAGAAATCTTGTTGGCAAATATTTACTGATTCACAAATCTTTATTGGTACAAAGTGAAGTATGAAGTCATTGCAGAAATACAGTTTCACGAACTTTTTGTTTCCCCATAGTATTTCTTTACTTGCATCAAAATCAGTTGTCTTCAATAAGGAGTTAAGCGTATGTCACAACTTCAACATTTGTGTTTCCAAAAGTTCATTGTAAACCATAAAGATTTTACAAAGTAGAAAGAAGGATGCTATATGTGTAAATAAAGTGTATTAATTTTTCTGTCAGATTTCTAGGGGAGTGACATTAGAAGACACCTTATCTTTAGAAAACAGTATCTTCATCTATAACACTAAATGAAGCAAGTCCAGAGAGTGAGCCTGAGTACTGACTACCGGCTGTTGTGCCACTTAATTGGCAGTGGTCAGCTGGTTATAGTTTTGCAATGGGTTGACTAGTGCCCTTCAGCACAAGCCAGGACAGATTTGGGGGCAGCGTACAGGAGGTGCCATTCTCAGCAGAATGTGTTGGCAAGATGGTACTTGGTTTGGTGCTCCTTTTGCCATGCAGTTCTCTAGCTCTCTCCCATTATTTCTGACACATTGAATTGAGGCAAAAAAACCACAGACAGAAAGATATTATGTCCTAAGGGGCATTATATAGCCCTGTTAAGACAAAACTTTAAGTGCTGTGTGTTGTGGATGCAGCTAAAATCTATCCTGAGTCTACATCCACAGAAGATGATCATCCCTGAGCCTTTGCTGCAAAACAATGTGGCTGTAGCTGTTGAGTACTATTTTTGGTATGCCCAAACATGTCATTTATTTTAGTATTCATCATTCCATTTTAATTGTGTTCTGCTACTCTTTCATTCCTGAAATATTCAGGATTTTTACTGTTGTAGTTATTCAGTTATCATTAAGCAAAGGTGGGCTTAATTAGAACTGTGTAAGGTAAAACTACCATTGTATGTGAAGGGGGTTTTTTTGTGTTTCAGGGGTTTAGTTGCACTTCAGACTCTACGGAAACTAGAACAACTAACTGGAAAGCCGGTTCATCAACTTTTTGACTACATTTGTGGTGTAAGCACAGGTAATTGTTAAGCCAATTGTTAAGTTGGAATTTTGCTATGAATATAGTAAAAGAACATCTGAGAATAAATGTAGATTTTGCAGAGCTTGCCGGTTTCTGACTTTGAGTGTAAGTTGGGAAAGTATAGGTGTGATTTCTAAAGACTTTCTTTTTTCTTCTGAATAAGAACTTTGGGTGATTCATGATACACTTGTAACATCAAACTGATTTTTCATTTTTTCAATGAATGCGAAACCTTCATTTTGCACACAGATACAAATATCTTAGATGCTTATGGGGCTTTATGGACAACTGAGGTAATGTCCCTCGGGGACTGATACTGGGCCAGTACTGTTCCATGTCTTTATTAATGACCCAAACAGGGACAGAGTGTGCCTGTAGCAAGATCTTGGGTGATACTAAATTAGAGGAAGTGGTCAGTACAGTGATGCCCTCTGTTCAGATTGGCCTGTACAGGCTGGAGAAATGGCTTGGTAGGAACCACCTAAGGTTCAATAAAGCCAAGTACCAAGCCCTCCATCTGAGGTGTGCTGACTGGCTAGAAACCAGCTTTGCAGAAAAAGACCTGGTCTTGTTGGAACAAGTTGAACATGAATCATCAGTGTACCCTTGCAGCAAAGAAAGCTGACCACATACTGGCTTGTATGCACAGGAACATACCCAACAGATTAAGGGTCTCTGGCCACCGTATGTCTAGTTGTAAGCTCCTCAGTAAACCCTTAATTTGTTGGGTGTGTTCTTGTACATGGAGTGAGTCTGGCAGAGGGCCAAGTAGATGGTCAGGGGACTGGAGGTCATGACACATAGGGAGAAAGTGCAAGAATGGGGTTTATTCAGCCTTAAGAAGAGAAGGCTGAGGGGAGGCCTTATTGCTGTTTCAACTAATGGGAAAATACAGAGAAGATGGAGCTAGACTCTTCTTGAAGGTGCACAGTGATTGGAGAAAAGTCAACAGACAAGTTGGAATATGGGAAGTTGCAATTAGGTATAAGAAATCATGTTTTCCTTGCAAGGATGGTCAGACACTAAAAGGAGTTGCCTGCACAGGCTGTGGAATCTCCATCCTTGGAGATACTCAAAACTTGGCTGAACAAGTCCTGAGTAACCTGTTCTAATTGAACAGGAGGTTGGGCTAGATGACCTCTAGAGGTTCCTCCCACCCTTAATTACTCTTGTGATTCAATTATGTTTCTCCTCTGTAGGAAGTAGGAAATTCTAAAGCATAAGTTTCTTTTTAAAAGACAGTCATCTCTTTCAGAAATTATGCTAGACCAGTAGCAGCATAATGCTGATTTCTAACATAAGAGGTATGCCATAGTTTAGTAGCTCAGTTTCCTTTAGAAACCCACATTCTTCATTTTTTTTGCACTGTACATACCTTCCATACAGTTTAATTCAGAAATAACATTAAATGCAGATCACTATGAGTAGGTCAATGTTTGCATTTCCAGAGATTTGCTTAATAGACTCAAAATAGTAGAGAAGAGGAGAATGTTTAGGTCTACTAGACAGAATTTGTTTGTAGACGCAATATAGTTCCCTACTTTACATTTTTAATAGTCTTTGAAAAAAATCCTTTGTTAGTTAATTTAGCAGTAACTGGTTGTTTCTTTGGAAGATAGTTTCACTACAAAACACTTCTCTAATATCTCCTTCAATCATAATAAAGACATTTTATCTTTGATAGAGAGGCTTGGTGTTCTTAATTAGATCCCACTACTCTGATTAGAACTATGTTTATTCTTAGTTCTTCACCAGATTTTGGGTTTTGTAACTGCTAGTAAGTACTTAATGTGTTCTTTTAAGCTTTGTTTATGCTCTCAAGCTTTTGTCTGCAGTAGTCCAGCTTGCAGTAATAGGTGACAAGGCGTGGCTGGGAGGGGTTGTACGGATCTGTCAGCATGTGCTAGCAGTGTACTTTACCATTTCAGTTTGTGTTGACAGTACCTATGCTGGTAGGATTTGCAGAAGCTTGTAGGTGGATGAATTGTGGTTTAGAAGAGTGATGTGTTAAATGATAGGAAGGATGCCTCTTGTGCATTACAGCTCTCTTTTTTTTTTTTCTGCTGTGCTTTTCATATCTCTTAATACCATTTAGCTGTATTGCCTTTGAGGTTTAGAAATAATCAGTTTGCTGTGAATTCAGCATCACAGAGTCTGTCTTTGTAATTAGTTTCCCTGTACTTCTCTTCACTGGTGGTCATAGGGTGTAAATGTAGGCAGTCACAGAGAAAGGTCACTGTAATGATGCTGTAACGGGCCTTGCATACTTAGGTCACCTGCCTATTGCTGAGCACAGTGTCTGGGATGGAAGCACCAGAAAATCTGCAAGCACATGCAATGCAGTGGTAGCCACTGACCTTCTTTTATGGGGAACCAGGTTAATGTAAATTGTGTACCAAGTTTGTACCTGTTCCATGCAAAAATCCAGAGGTGAAAACAAGGCAGTTGAGAGGAGGAAGTGCCATTGCCCCAGGAACTGAGCTGCTGGGATTTCTGTAAGTGAGGGTGATTGTCACTGTTCTCCAGAGCATGACATGCTTTTATCGATGCTTTTATCGATGCTTTTATCGATGCTTTTATCGATGCACAGAGCACTTAACCCATTGAGGACAACTTGTCTGCAGGTATGCTGTGGATGTGGCTTGGATGTTCTTTTCACCGCTCATGCGGTCTCCCAGTATATCAAAGATACTTTTCAATAGTGGTGCACTTAGAATTCAGTCACCGGGACCAGTTTATAACATCAAGAGTATGTGATCAGGCAAAGTGCATGCTACCACATTTTCAAATGTGCTGGCCTACTCCAAGAATTTTTAAAATACACTTTTTTCCTAAACTTCTATATTGATCTAATAATCAGTGGCATTCAGATGCATCGTATGAGGGATTTGATCATTGACACAGTGTGACCAAAGGTTCTCCTACCATATTGTTTTCCAGTGCATTTTACTACAAAGACATCTGAATTGTACTGGTCTCTTTGATCATCATTTTTGGATGTATGTGAAGTTTGCATAAGGACTTCACATAAGGATGTTCTCCCAAAATATTCCTTCCAAGTTGTTAAGAACAGCATAGGGCCAGTGCCCCCATGTATTCTCCCAGCCTTCAGTGATTTGTAGATGAGGATCTTAAGCAAAGCTCGTATCTCTCTGTTGATGATTTTTTTTTGCCCATGATGTCTTTCCAGTTTTGAAATCCATTTTGAAAACCTTTCTGTTGGAAGAAGTATTTTTTTCAGGAGAACTCATGAATAAGTCAAGTCATGGTATTACAGAGCTGGAAGCGTCCTTAGGAGGTTATCTCATTTCCCAAGGAAAGGATCAGCTGTGTGTGTTTCACTATTGACAATTTTCGAAGATTTTGAATCATTTCAGACCTCTTCAGAAAATCTGTTCTAGTGCTCCACTGTCTTTACATTTGGGGAAAAAAAAAATCCAAATGTCTAACGTGGATCTTCCTGTTGCAGTTCAAATTTGTTTCCTCTTGTCCTGACTCCCCAGGAACACGGATAACGTTCTTTCTCTTCTCTTTGCAGCAGCCTTCTGTGCATTTAAAGGCTTTTGTCATAGCCTGTTTCCTCAGCCTTTCCTTACAGACTGATTTCCTTGACCTGTGATTGTCTTTTGGGGACTTTTTTGTGTGCTTTTTCTTTTTTCCAGGTGGTCCACATCTGTTTTGAAGAATATCATTCAGGTCCAGATATAGCTTCAGCTGAAGTCTTGCTAGTACTGAATAAGAAAGGAATACTTTTGTCTTTCAGGTTATATTAGCCAACTGTATCCCTGTGTTCTTCAAGATACGCTCCTTAGCCCACCAGCTTTTGTTTAGGTATTTTTTCCCCCTGAAGTGTTGGCTGTCAAGGCTGAGATGGTGGCTGGAGTGTAGGAGTCTGTGATAGAGCAGGATGTGATGGAAGCGTCAGAAACTTTTTCACTGGACCATCTGATAGAGCCTGCACTATATCTTTGATTTTGACCTTACTCTCCTGTGAGTGTCTTGTTACCATCCAGCAGGTTTCAGCAAAGCCCTTTAATATGTACCTTGACTCTGGTACTATCTACTGCCACTTGTGTGCTGATGCAGACTGCAGTTTTTGGTGCTGTTTCTCAGGAAGTGAAGTGAAAATGAGTTTGCATTTGGTATTAATTTTGGCTCTTTGGCTTTGAAACTGTTCACCAAAATAGCAAATGCATGATATTATAGAATTGGTGCTGGAGAGTTATGAGGAGAAGGTAGCAGAGGATTTGCATGATTCAGAAAAATGGTGTTTCTCTGCTGCTAGATGTTTAGTCTGTGTTGAATACAGGCATTTGGTGATTTGGCAGTTGAGTAAGTTTCTCTTGATGAAACTTTGATGTGTCAAGTAGGCCCAGGTTATATTAAGCACGTGTGCTACATTTTAAAAAATTGAGACCATCAATCCACTGACACTCAGCTGTCATGGTGGTGGGATCCATGAGAGCAAAAGTAGCTTGGAAGTCATGTCTCCTTTAAAGCCATCTGTAACTTTCTTTATGTAGTTCTTTCTTTCTGCATGTGTTTTATTCTTACTCTATTTCAAAATTTACTCCTTTTTAAATTAATTTTATTCAAACCTACTGCATTCATTTCCAAATTGGAAAAATCATGTGTCCTAATTATTCCTCATGCTTTATTACATGTCCTCACAGTATTGCACAGATTTAAAGGTTGTATATGTCCCTTTCAGTTTAATATATCTAAAAATGGTAGTTATGCATTAATTATATTTTTCCACAGTCTTTTTAATGGTATTTTGCAACCATGCTTTTTGGATACTGTTTTGTTCCTACAAGGGTAGGTCATAATTTTTTTAGGCACACACTAGATGGCAGTATGTATGAATGAATAATTATAAATGGTTGCAACCAAATGTATTCCAAACTAGTCAAAACTCCCTTTTTTTTACAGAATTTTCCTAGAATTTCTCTTTACTGACTCGGAGTTTGCCAGATAGCAAGTAATGCTCCAAATACATTTTTAATACCACAGCATAGATTTCTCTTACTCATTTCTCTTTCCAAATAAAGCAGTGGATTTAGTTTGCTTTCTGCCATATACATGTTTGCAGGGATGAAGTCTGCGAAATGAAATAATACCATTTGTCAACTTCTCATAGTTCTGTTTTTGAAAGTAGACTCTTCCTATCTTGTATATGTCCTTTAAAACATAGTTTGTGATCTTTGAACAGGAATTTAGTGATACAAATGTCAATTGATCTTCCCTTTTCAAGATAGATATTCTGCTAACCTATGAACTACATTAAATGGTAATCCATCTTCGTAATCTTACTTTACGTTTCAAAATACTTCTTTTTCAGGAGCTATATTAGCTTTTATGTTGGGGTTGTTCCATATCCCTCTCGATGATTGTGAAGAACTGTATCGCAAGTTAGGATCAGATGTTTTTAAGCAGAATGTTATTGTTGGAACAGTGAAAATGGGTTGGAGCCACGCCTTTTATGACAGTGATATCTGGGAAAAAATGCTCAAGTAAGTAAAAAATGATCAGGTGGAAAATAATTAGTATAATGTCTGAGAGCCTTTGGTTTTGTTATTGTTTCACTGGTAAGCAAATTCTTAAAACAACTAGAAAGAATTAGCATATACTCTCATTCTTTTGAAATAGCTGTTTTCCTATTTACCAAAATATTGAAAGCCTTTAATGTAATGATTTCTGTTTCTGGGGAGTGAAGTAAGCTTTAGTGCACTGATTTCTGATTATATTCCTGTACGCTTGCCAGCTCTGCTGGACCTGACTCATTATAGATGTGCTACAAATTTTACTGGCCACCTACTGTGCCTTTTTTCTTACAGGAAGCATGATGAGAAATGAAATAATGTGCTGTAGTAGGGATTTTTAATCTTAGCTGCTATACTGAGGGGTTTTGCCCATTGCCCCTTTCTTTGAAAAGGAAAATGAGCTGTAAGGATTGCAATGAAAAAGTATCTGCTGTGTCAGAGCTGCTAGTGAAATGGTATTTGTTCATAGATACGTATACAAATGCATTAATGGCTGTTCAGGAAAAGTCACTGGAAGAAATTGTTACGATTTATTACAAGTTATATTACTTAGTTTTGTTCATCTGTATTTGTATTGATAGTTCCATTGTTTATAATTTTTAGCAAACTAATGTCATAGTTTCCCAAAGAGTGAGAGCTGGTGCTGCTACTGAAAGAACTGAAACAACCTTCTCTGAGAGCAAATGTAAAATGGTAAAAAGCTTCTTTGGATAAGTAATGACAAGTTCCTTTGGGAACATGATTAATGTTTTGTGGGATTGAAAGTGTTTTTTCTAGACACTATAGTGGGAATACCTGTGCTGCCTGAGTTTTAAGCATCTCACTTGTTTGCTGAAGTGGAGAGAGAGGCTTCCAAGTACTACTTCTCTGTGTTCTTGCATATTTTTAGGAATAAATGTGTTTATCAAATGAATATAATGAGTTTTTCTTCTCAGATACCTGGAGTTCCTCTTTTTTTGGAAAAGAGATTTTTCTCTGCCTTCCCTCTTTTCCTCCCCTGCCCAACTAAAAGAAGTCTTTTGAAAATCAGAATTACCTCATGTGAAAGTGTTTTACATGCCTTTAATTAAAATGCTGTTATTCTTTGCAGCTACATGTAACACATGAGGGAGGTAAAGCACTCTACTCCTGTGCAATGGATAGAAGCCAGGCAATTATTACGTTATCCATAGATTAAATGAAAAATTAAATTTACTGATCAACAAATTACTTTTTGTTGAGCTAATTCTGCAATGTTGAAGGGAGATGCTATGCCTACACAACGTTTTATTGAAACAGTAGGGATTCCTGCAGGCTTCCTTGTGGTGTGGAAGCCTACAACTAAGAAGGGAATCTCTTTATGGCAATAAGAAGGTCAGGTCTAACTTTCAGTCGTTGCATGGGAAAACTGCTTTATGTTTTGTTTTAAATTTAAAAGCCTCACCTGTGCTGGCTGGGTTTTTGTTGTTTAAATGGTAGTAGATTTGTCAGCCTTGCTTGAAATAGAGAGTATCCGTTTACAATATACAGGCATGCAATGTACGTTTAGCCCTACCACAATATTGTTGGTATTATTTTCTGTCAGAAAGTATTCTTGCTGAAAATAATTAAGCTAATGTTGTATTACGCTAATGTTGCATGCATTCATGAGGCATAATATAAATTCCATTTCAGAAAATGACAAGTAATTTTGATTAACTTTTTATTGTGAGTGCTGTAGGGAATTGATTTTATATTTTACATGTATGTTTATTTTAACTCTTCTTATGTATTCCTTGAATTGCAGTTTGAGGACTGGTTTTAATCAGTTACTTTTATTACTTAGTGCAGAAAATACTTACCATACGTCAGTCTATGTAATGCTATATTGAATTGCATTCGTAAGAAGAACCTGGCTTACAGTTTCAAGTTTTCTGTTTTCTTTTGACTGTTGTTTACATATACAATTTTATTTTTTCATATTGGTGAGCAGCTAGGGGTTTTCGCAAGCTAACTAAAATCCCATACTGGGAATTTGTAATCTTGAGAAGCAATCGAGCTTCTCTGTATAGAGGGTGGGGTAAAAGTTACATGTTCTCTGCTGGTAGGAAAATGGATAATGCATGTGTTTGGGATTACAAGTAATAATACTTCAAACCGGTATTTGTTATGCAAATTGAAATATAAATTGAGACTGGTCTCCAGTGACTAGATGGGCAACACATTCTGTACCAGTTAGTCACTCCAGACGTACTTAACATATTTTGCAGCATTATGAATGAGATGTTATGTATCTTTAGGGAACACTGAATAAAAGTCTGTCCTGTAGGTTTGGTAAAGATGTCATAGTTTCCTGGTACTTTTGTTGTTGTTGTTAGAAGGGGGTAAAAGTTACAATTTTGCCTTTTGAATTGAATGCTCTTTCTCCAGGCTATTTGATTGCACCCTGGCTGTAGCCCATTAGAATGTTTCTTTAAGCATATGGTTGTCAATACATTCTTCATATCATTATTGAAATAAGTGTTGCAATATTAGGGACTCGAAGCAATGGAAGAGCAACATTTGTGAAGGTGACTTGGTGTTTAGGTAGGTCATGTCTAGAGGACATAGGTTACAGGCAGACACAAACAAAGCAGATAAATGGAAAAATAGAATGGCAAATGAAATTATGTGTGAAGTAATAACCCATGAGTGGAAAAATGTAAAATGCTTACAGGATGTAAACTAACTTTAATATCAAAAGTGATTTGGATGTTGTTATGGACAGTTTAATGAAACATCTGTATGCTTGTGGTCAAACAAGATGATTCAGTGTGTGATGGTTGGGATTGAAAATACAGAAAATATTATAATGCTGTTATATTAATCCATAATACAGTTTCATTTAAAGTGCTATTTACAATCCCAGTTACCCCATTTTAGAGAATGTTTCTGTTGCAAGATTGGTAAAAAGTAGGTAGTGACCTAAAGACAATTCACACAAAGGAATTGGGACTGTTTATCATTAAAAAAAGCAAACAAGTTAAAGCAGTAATTTGAGATAGTAAGATATTTTGAGAATTACCGTTCTCATCTTTTCTTCAAGAACAAGGGACTATTCAATAAAATTAAAATTAGTATACTTTCTCTTTTAACACAGTATGTGGAAAAAAACCTGGAATTAATTGTGTTGTGACTTTGGTAAAGAAAATAATTGAACAGTGAGGCTTGACAAAGACATTTATATAATACACAATTAAAGTATGAATGCTAGCAACAAAACTAAAATAAATTTGGAGGTGATACTAAACTTTTACCTTTAGACCTTAATGTCTGAAGTTGCATAGTAGCTTAAGGGATTTCTTGTAGCTGCTCTGAAGCATCAGTTCCTGGCCTTCATAAGAAACAATATGTGAGAAAATAATTATTCAGTTTGACAGTTTGTGTAATTAAGCAGTGGATATTGCTTATGCAGTTTTTTAATCTTTGCATTCAGGGTTTGGGAAAAAATATCTAATACAGTGATGCAAATCAGTAGATGTCTTTCATATCTCACCTTTGTCAGTCTCATCTTTTATTTCTGAATATTCCTACTTCTTGGTTCTGTGTGCCTTCATCTCCTTCTGTAATCAATTTATAAAAATGTATGCATATGAAAAAATTCCAACTGAAAAATGGGTGTTAAATGCATATTGAATTATTGTTATGGAAGATTACATATACATGTTTTAACTTTCTTCAAAAATCATGTAGAATGTTGTCTTTCTTTCCTTAGCTTTTGTTTTCATAACAGTTCAGGAGAGCAATTTTCATTACTATAAAACCGCTTAATAAAGATGTTGATTTTTTGATTCTTAAATGTAGCAAAGTACTTCGTTTTCCTCTCGCAAAGTAGTTGAGTAATCCTGATGATCTGTGTTTAAGCATGTAGTAAAGTGAATAACTGAATCAAGACCTAAATCATTCTTCAGACTTATTTGCAAGAAGAAGCCTAGAAGGTTTGAAATATTAGTCCATTGAAGTCAACCATAGAAATACGATTATTGAAGTGAAATCCAAGCATTGCTTCTGTTAAATGTAAAGTTCTCAGAAGTAAGGGATGATAAAAATGTACGTCTTTTGTTCATGCTAAACTGATGGAGCATTTTCAATTTTTACACTTACTTCTAGAGAAAAAATGGGCTCAAATCTTATGATTGAAACTACAAGAAATTCCAAATGTCCGAAGGTAAGTACAGTTTTCTAAGGTAAATAGTAGTTGTGTATTCCACAAGTACTTTTAAGAGTTCTGAGCAAGAGTACTGTCCCTAGAAGAATATTGGATAAACAGCATGAGTGTTGATATGTTCTCCAAGCTTCCATATGAGATAACCCATGCTTTTAAAGGATAAAAATTCATTAGATTCTTAAATTTCTGCAGCAATTTCTCATATTTTTATTTAATACTTTAAGTTAGAATACATTTCAGAGATGTTAAAAGGCTTATAAGCAGAGAAATACTAGGTCAAATTCTTGAAGTTGTGCAAAGTTTGTTTTTTCATATAAGAGAACTCTAGTATCTGGAGATCCTGTCATGTCAACTGTGATCTGTGTTACTGTGAAGTGAGAGAACAGGGTTTCTCCTCACTTTATCTGGATTACCAGGTTTTCTCCAGTCACATTCATAGGCCCCAAGATGTCTGGTCTTCCTGTATGATCTAAAGGGCACCAATTAATTGGAGGGGCGTTACATACAGCAGCAGCACAAGAGTGAAAGATGAGAAAGCATGGGTATTTTATTTTTGGTGAAGGATAGGGTGTGAAGAAAGAAGAGAAATATAATAGGACATATTTCAGAACAATCTGTAATTAACAGGTGTTTTGGTGTCATAGCACTATATTCAATGCTTTACTGTTAAATGGAAGATATTCACATTTTTCTAAACATAGAAACATATGCTTGGCTGACTGCGTTCCTAGTCCATGTCTAAAACAAGGACATGAAAAGGCTGGAGTGGTATGTTGCTTTCTGAGAGAGAATCTATCCTACATTGACTTGAAAGTTATCTTTGAACCGGGATCTTTGGCTTCCTTCCATGTTCTTCAGTAACAAAATGTGAATATAAATAGAGTTGAAACTAGCTATTCCCAGTAATCGCTTTGTAGTGCTGGCAGTGGTGGCACTCTTTACAAGGCACAGCAAAATCAAAATAAAACATGCAGCTGTGTGCTCTGCTGCTACTAGATTCTGGAAAAAAACATCTTATCATGAAGGTGCTCAGCACTTTACAACTTAGACTGCATCATGAGGTGGAAGTGTATATGGGTATTACCAAAAATAAATTCAAGCATCAGTTTGAAAAGTTTTCTATTAAATTTTCTCTTAAATTTTCCAAAGTTTTTTTTTCTTACTGCTTCTAGTAGTGCTTAGAACCAACCCTTCCTTTTGACAAAAACAGGAACTTTTCCTCCATCAAATGATGGAGTACGAATCATAGATGTGTTTTGCTTCTGCATTGTCTTACAGAAGTTATACTTTTCTTGTTTTCTTTTTTATAAGGATGGACTTACTGTGAATTAAATGATTTAACTTATGTAGCTGAAGAATGGAAATGAATACAGTGATATCACAACGTAAGCTGCTAGTGCTGTTGAATAGTGTTTCCCAAAAATGCTCTACTCTGTAAGCAAAATAGAATTGGACACCTACTTACCTGCTAAAGGGTATTTTTCTGAACAGTGCCAGCCAGGCTGGGTGCATCATCACTAAAAGGTCTTGCAGATTCTAACACTCATCCATAACTATAGGTGCTCTCACCTCGTGTGATTGTATCTGTAAGGTGTGATTTTTTTGCAGTCATACATTTTGTCTTATGGAAATGCCATTTTGGCTTTTCACTTAGATTTACATATGTGACTTTCTGTTAATGACATTTCAGTGTCCTTCCAAAAAATCTTGAAAGGTTTATGTTTGATTCTTTTGGGTTTTTTCTTTGGGAGAGATTCTTCCTGCAGTCCTTTAACTCAGGTTGCAATATTAAGTAATCATTTTCTTGGAGAAAGAATTTGGTTTACATTTCTAACATTCGTATTTAATGGCATTGTTGCATTGCTGGTTAGACTTTTGAAAACGAACTACTATTTGTAAAGGCAAAACGTTTTAAAATCATATGGGTGACACCAGCTTTTTGTTTAAATATCGGTGGGTAGATATTGGTAGAAACAGAATAGCCAGTGGAAACAATTAATTTCAGGTTAAAAATAGCATTTTCTTTAGGGAGTTTGTTTTTTGGTTTGGTGTGGGTTTTTTTTTTTCCTTTCGCTTTTAAAATTTAGATAGGCATTGTAAAAAAGTAAATAAATAATGAACCAAGTAGGATTCCAGAGATGCCCTTAATGTATAAATTGAATTTTATATTGTGGGAAGTTGTCATTATTATTATTATTACCATATATAACTATTTGTTTCTCCTAACTCACTAGGTAGCTGCAGTAAGCACCATTGTAAACAGAGGAACGCCACTGAAAGCATTTGTCTTTAGAAACTACAATCACTTTCCTGGTGTTAAGTCTCATTATATTGGAGGCTGTCAGTATAAACTGTGGCAGGCCATTAGAGCATCATCTGCTGCACCAGGTTACTTTCAGGAATATGTTTTGGGCAACGATCTTCATCAGGTAAGTTGAAATCTTCTCCTTTAGTAAATATTTTCCAATATTATACCTGAGAAAAAAGTTGTCTGAATTTCTGAATCTCAACTAAGCAGTAAGTTGGTAGCAGAAAGGAAGTCTAGGACAGATGGGGGTAAGAAAGGAAATTTTTAGCTTGTATAGCCCTTATAGAACTAGAAAAGGTATAGGCTTAAAAATCTTAGTCTTCTCAGTACAAACTTAAGCTCTTCTGCTGTTCCTTTCTTCTCTGCCTGGAAGGAAACCTTATATGAGTTGTAAATTGCTTCTGACTTCCTGCTTACAACTGGCATTTCATTGAGCATTATTTCACTAAACAGATGGTATGACTTGATTTTTTCACACTTTACAGTATTGTTAAATTTTAAGTTACACATTTCAGTGTTCCTTTTATTAGTGCATAATTTCAGTTTACGGTCCACTTTTAATTCTTTTCATTGATAGCTTATTAAGCTCTACCCTGGTTCTGAGCTAGTAAAAAGAATAAGAGATGCCACGGCAGTAAGATTAAACTCAGAGAACAACTGCAAAAGAAATTCCCTTGAGGATAAAGCAATGTCTCCTATCAACAGTGCATGCTATTTTATTGTATTATAGTTTCCGGTGATCCTGGTTAGTAAAGAGCAAGGCAAATTAATTTCTTTAGTAGTTTTTTAACCATTGTGTTCTTGTCCTCCAGTGCCCCTTTATTGTACTGCAGCTCTCTGAATTTTAAAAGAATCCTTTTTACAGTACATATTAATTTAAAACTATTAGTATTTCTTTTTAAAAAGATCTGTTGCAGAAAGGACTACAAAGGGTGACTGAGCCAGAGACCTTCAGCAAAGACAGCATAGGATTCTATCACTTAAATTTCAAGAAAGCCTCTATTCCATTTCTGTCATATTAATTCATATGGTAGCATTAGCCTCAACTACTGGAAAGCAATAATAGCATATTTTGAGTAATGAGATGTACCTGGATCACATACAGAATTTCTCATGGTGTCCGTTAAAAGGCTGTGTAATCTAATTAGCATTGTAATGTGCATAAATAATACTGAAGTTTAAAGACTAACAGATAAATAAGGAGTATAAGATGAAATAGTGAAAAATTCATTAGATTAAGAGATAATAAACAGAAGCATTGATACAGAGAAACAGCTAGAATTTAATCTGAAAAAAGCATACTTCCATATTTTGAATTAACATTTATAAGGAGATAGAGTAACTATATTCAGCTATATAAAAGCTCTACATAAGTTGGGGGGTGAAGGGGAGGGGTTCCCATGGAGGGCAGGATGGTGCTACTACATGAACCAGATTCTGAGAATTTTTCCATTTCATTCTGTTTCCCCTTTTTGTTTAGGGTCTGTTTTTTTTTCCCCCCCGCTTCCCACCCACCCACC